GGCCTCTCTCGGGCCTGAACCTTGATAGATCCAGAAGTTATGGAACTCAAAAAGGAGACAGTTGAATAAAGTCACTTTGTTCCTCCTAGTTGAGGCGCAAGTTTGGATGTCGTCCTCTGGTGCTCAGTCCTGCCAGATGCTACCAGTGCTGGGACTTGGGGCATCTCAGCCAGTTCTTGCTGAAAGTGACTGTAAATCCACTTTACTGTTCCAGGTGCCATTCGGGCCCCTGCATCGCTCTCCTCCGGCCAGGGGCAGGGCGCTCTCAGTGGGCAGCCCCTGAGGGCGGGGACTGAACTTGGCTACCACCTGGAGCGGATGCCTGCTGCCAAAGGGTGCTTGTGCCCAGGAGTCATGGGTGTCTGAGAGTGTGTACACATGTGTGTCTGTGAGGTCAATTTCCTTTTAAAAAACAAGCTTGGATTTTGATAGTGTTTATGTTCAATCTATTGATCAATTTTTAGAGAACTGCCATTTTAATATTACTGGACATCAACATGGACATCTCTCCTTTTATCTCGATTTTTACTTTCAGTAATGTTTATAGTTTCTAGTGCCTTGCACTTCTTTTGTTAATTTTTTTCCTATTTTATTCTTTTTAAGATATTGTGATGGGACTATTTCCTTTTTTAAAAATCCTCACCCAAGGATATTTTTCTATTTATCTTCAGATAGAGTGGGAGGGAGGGAGAAAGAAGGAGAGAGAAAGAAACATCAATGTGAGAGAGACACATCGACTGGTTGCCTCCCGCACAATCCCAACCAGGGCCAGGGACAAACCACAACTGAGGTACGTACCCTTGACCTGAATCGAACCTGCGACTCTTTGGTCCGCAGGCCAGTGCTCTAACTGCTGAACCAAATTGGCCAGGGCATGGGGTTGTTTTCTTAACATCATTTTCATACTGGTCATTGATAGTATATATAAAAATACATTAGATACCCATTTTGTAACCAGAACTCTGCTTGGTGCTGAGGACATGAGGACAATGAGACAGTGGTCACAACAAGGCAATACTTTGGCTGGCCCCATTTATGGCTTCAAGGCTGTTGGTTTTCAAGGCTCTTTTTAACATAGATTCTTACTCCACAGATTCTGAAAGTCCCTCACAGAGAGTTTTTACATATATCCTGGTGGGTTTTTTTTTTTCCACCGGGCCCTTTAGATTTTCGCTGTGCATGTTTGCAGTTTCCAGATAACCCAGGATGAGGGAAATGCATATTAAGTCTATGGCTAACTCATGTCCAGGATCTTGCTAAATTTCTGGCTAGTCCTTCAGTGTGCAGCATAACCCCGCCCAGGACTGCAACCACAGGCTGGGAGAGGTGGGCTTTTCCCATTATCCAATAGACATAGGTTTTTCACTCTCTGGTGCAAGTCAAGGCAGCCCCTTCTGAGTGATGCTACCAGTTCTCACAGCTAGCCCTGCCACTGTATAACTATCCCGTCCATCGAGCTCTACTGGGAGACAGTGGCAGCTCCAGGCAAGAATGTCGCAGACATCTGCTGTACTCACTCAAAGTAAAGCAGTGTTTTGTGAACATATGCATCTCAATTTATTGTATGCCTTTGGTTGGTTTCTGGGGACTTGAAATTATTGTTTTTTGACTGTCTTATTTTTTTTTAAACACATTTTTATTGTTGAATGCATTATAGATGTTTCTCCCTTTTTTCCCCATTGACCCCCTCCTCCCCAATTCTCCCTCTCCTGCGTTCCCCACACTATTGTTGGTGTCCATTGATTATGCATATATGCATAGAAGTTCTTTGGTTTATCTCATCCTGCCATTCCTCCCCCTTTCCCTTTGGGGTTCATCAGTCTAACAGCCAATTTGTACTTCTTTTTTTTTTTTTATCCTCACCCAAGGACATTTTTCCATTTTTTGGTCAGGTAGAGTGGGAGGGAGAGAGAGAGAGAGAGAGAAACATCAATGTGAAAGGGACATATCGAGTGGCTGCCACCTGGACGACCAACCAGGGCCGGGAACAAACTGCAACTGAGGTACGTGCCCTTAGTGGGAACTGAACTTGGGTCTCTCTGGACCACAGGCCGATGCTCTAACTGCTGAGCCAAACTGGCCAGGGCCAATTTGTACTTCTTAATTCCTTCCTCTTTTTCACCCATCCCTCTAGCCCCTATATATCTGGCAAGCAACAAAAAGTTCTCTGTATCTATGAGTCTGTTCCTGTTCTGCTTGCTTTTTTTGTTTGTAGATTCAATTGTTGATAGATATGTATTAATTGCTATATTATTGTTCATATTTTTATTCTTCTTCACCTTGAAGAAGACACTTCAACATTTCATATAGTACTGGTTTGGTGGTGATGAATTCCTTTAGCTTTTTCTTGTCTGGGAGACTCTTGATATGTCCATCGATTCGAAATGATAGCTTTGCAGGATAGAGTAATCTTGGTTGTATGTCATTGCTTTTCATCACTTTGAATATCTCTTGCCACTTCTTTCTGGCCTGCAAAGTTTCTTTTGAGAAATCTGCTGACAGTCTTATGGGAGCTCCTTTGTAGGTAACAAACTGCTTTTCTATCACTGCTTTTAAGATTCTCTCTTTGTATTTAACCTTTGGCATTTTGATGATGATGTGTCTTGGTGTGGACCTCTTTGGGTTCATCTTGTTTGGGACTCTCTGCTTCCTGGACTTGTATGTCTGTTTTCTTCACCAAGTTAGGAAAGTTTTCTGTCATTATTGTTTCAAATAGTTTTTCAATTTCTTGCTCTCTCTTTCCTCCTTCAGGCACCCCTATGATGGGAATGTTGGCACGCTTGAAATTGTCCCAGAAGCTCCTTACACTATCCTCATATTTTTTATTCCTTTTTCTTTTTGCTGTTCTGGTTGGGTGTTTTCTGCTTCCTTATATTCCAAATCGATGGCTTACCTACTCTACTATTGATTCACTGTACATTACTCTTTATTTCAGTTAGTGCATCCTTCATTTCTGAATGATCCTTTTTTATATTGTTGATGTTCTCACTAAGTTCCTCAGAGGTCTCCTTAAGTTTCTGGAAGGTCTTACCAAGTCCATTGAATGTCTCACCACATTCCTTGAGCAACCTTATAACCTGTTTTCTGAACTCTGCATATGATTGATTGCTTATCTCCATTTTGTTTAATTCTTTTCCTGGAGTTTTGTTTCTTTTCTTTCATTTGAGACATGTTTCTTTGACTCCTCATTTTGGCTGTTTCCCTGTGATTGTTTCTATGTATTAGGCAGAGTTGCTATGTCTCCTAGGCTTCAGAGGGTGGCCTACTATTGTAGGTGTCCTGTACAATCCAGTGGCACAGCTTCCCTGATCACCCCAGTTGGGCCCTCAAGGTGCACCCCTAGTGTGGACTGTACACCCTTCTGCTGTAATTGAGTCTTGATTGCTGTTGGCACCTCAGTGGGAGGGGTTTATTCAGGCTGATCAGCTGCAAGGACTGGTTATGCCCACTGCCCACTGGCTTCTGACTCCCTTGGACGATCAGTTGTGTAGGGGCCCACCACACAGAGCAAGACTTACTTCAGCAGGGCTCTGGTACCCACTGAGTCCACTCATTGAGTGTGTCACTTGTGGAGGTGGTTGGGTGGTAGTGTTTTGATGTGGTCTGAAGCTGTCCCCTGGGTGTGCTGGCTCTGGGGCAAGGTCAGCCACTGCCTGTGTTCTGTCCAGAGCCATCCAGCATAAACTACAAAGTGATCTGCAGATGGCTGCTTCTTGTGCTGGGCTTGGAGGTGTCCAGGAAAAGCCAGGTTGTGAACCAAGGCTGGCTGCTTCTAGTGCCAGGCCTGGGGCCACTTAACAAGAGGTATGGGGCTCCCTCACACCAGATGCTGCTTGTTTGAGAGATTTTAAAAAACTCTGAAGCAGGATCCAAGACAGGCCAATCCTATGGTAAAGCCATTGGAAACAGCTTGGGTGGGCCCTCAAGTTGGGTTGGGCAGGGCCTCAGGGAATCACCATGGTGGGGCCAACAGTGTGAGCCAGGTTGCTGGAGTCTCAGTTATGGCAGCGGTCTGCCTGCCCCGTGGGGGAAGGGCTCACAGAAGGGACAACAGCCTCCACCAGCACCTCTGTGCCTCCGCCTCTCCTACCAGTCTCATTGTGGCTGCTTTAATTTCGTAGTTGTAGGACTTTCATTCAGCTCGATGTCAGGGGGTTCTGAATGGTGGTTGTTCTATAGTTTAGTTGTAATTTTGATGTGGTTGTGGTAGGAGGCGAGACTGTGTTTACCTACGCTACCATCTTGACTGGAAGTCAATGTTTTTTGACAGTCTTATCTAGCTATAGAGTTGTATTCTAGAGAAGGGATTCAGTGATCTCTTCCTTTCTTCACTGCTTGAAGTTATTCCTATGATTTTAAATGTCTGGAATATGTAGGGCATTTAAACACAGCATAGTGGATTATGTGTGAGAATTTAGTGGGGGGAAAACAAGGTTTATAATATACATGGGTCTTGCATTTTCAGTTTTATACATTGTGATCATTTAGTAAGGTGAACTCAGAATGAGTTTACTACCCCAGGTCAATGGGGCCATGCATGATGCTTACTCTACCATCAGAGTGTGCCTATTGTTCAGAGAAAGAGACAAAATCATTTTTGTGCTTTTCCGGTGTGATAAATTGTAAAGATATGACATTGTTGATGGAAGTTATATAAGGGAGACTTAAATAGTGTTAAAATTGGGCTTGCTTAACTTGCTGCAAACATTAATAGTTGAATGTCCAACCCTGCTGTATTTGGAGCTGTGATATAATTTTCAGAAGAAAATACACGTTATAATCCAACTTAACAATGCCCTTTAATAATGTGAAATAACAAATAACTATAGTTGATAATTAAAGACTGCTTAGGATAAAATTCTGAGGATACTGTGAGGTCTAAAATTCTGTGCGGTTTTGTACAAATTAATCACCTAGTACAAGCTATATCATTTTTTAATTGCTAAAACCAGTTAATATTTTTCAGTGCAATATTTCATTTTTGACAGATACCAATGGTCATGTCTCAAAAAGGCAAGATTATTTTCAAAGTTAAAATATTCTAGTAAGCTGAATTCATCAATATGGGAATGGAGTATACCCAATAACCTGGGATTTATTCCAGGAATGCAAGGTTAGTTTAACATCTGGAGATCAATTAACGTAATACAGCATATTAATAAAATATATGACAAAAAAAATGCACAATTATCTGAATAGACACAGAAAAAGCATTTCACAAAATCTGTCCTTTCTGGATCAAAACACTCAACAAACTAGAAATAGAAGGGAACTTCCTTAATATGATAAAGAACGTTTGTGAAAAACTAGCTAATAGCGTACTTAATGATGAAAGATAATGCTTTTCTCTTAAGATTAGGATATCCACTCTTACTATGTTTATTCAACAATGTGTTGGAGGTTCTAGCCAGGGCAATTAGGCAAGAATAGTAAATAAAATGTATCCATATAGGAAAGGAAGAAGTAAAACTATCTCTGCAGGTGACATAGTCTTGTATATAGAAAATACTAAAACTCTACTAAAAGCTATTAGAACTAATAAATAAGTTGAGCAAGATTGTAGAATACAAACAGGATAAATATATAGATAATTATATTTGTGTGCAGTAGCAATGAAACGTTTGAAAACGAAGCAAAGAAAACAATTCCACTTCTAATAGCATCAAAAAGGATAAAATTCTTAGGAATAAATTTAACAAAAGAAGTGCAGAATGAATTTTAAAACTACAAACCATTGTTGAAACAAAATAAATACCCAAATAAATGGAAATACATTCTACGTTCAGGGATCAGAACACTTAATATTGTTAAGATGGCATTACTCCCCAAGTTGATCTACAGATTCAGTGTAATCCCTGTTGAAATTCCTATTTTGCAGAAATTGGCAAGCTTATCCTGATCTTTATATGGAAATGCAGAGAACCCAGAATTGACAAAACAGTCTTGAAAAGGTGAAAGTTGGTGGACTAACTCTTCTCAATTTCAAAACTTACAATAAAACTAAAATGATCAAGACAGTCACTTTGGCATAATGATGGATGCAAATGGAATTGAGAGCCCAGAAATATACCCTTACATTTACAGTCAATTGATTTTTGCAAGGTGCCAAGACAGTTCAATGGAGAAAGAATAGTCTTTTCAACAATGGTTTTGGAAGAACTGGATATCCATCTAAGAAACGGTAAATTGATGTTGAACCCCTTTCCTCATACCATATGCAAAAAATACCTCAAATGGACCATAGACTTAAATGTAAGAGCTAGAACTATAAAACTGTAAAGGGAAAAAGATAACCTTTGTGACCTTGGGTTAGTGAAAGCCTTCATAAGTATGACTGCCAAAGCACATTTTCTTATTGGCTTGCTTTTTTTCTTATTGATGCAGGGAAGTTTTTAAAGACATTTTAGGCTTTATATTTCTGTTTAAACTTAATACTTGAATTTAGTTAATATTTAAATTACAGATGCAGTATGTGAACACTGTGAATTCCTATGAGAGCACCCCTCCTGACTCCTGTTCCTCTCTCCTCTGCCCCAGAACTTCAGGTATTACCGGTTTGGGGAGTGACCTTTCAGGCCCCATTATATCCCTGTACACACAGCTATCTAGAGAAAACATCTTGCACAATTTTGAGGGTTTTCTTTTTCAAGAACTGCTAAGGATACATTTCAAAATCTGAAACTTGCTTTTTCATGAGCACTATTACCTAGTCCATCTTTCTTTGTTACTATGTATAAACCTGGCTGTTGTGTTTACCTGCTGCATAATATTCTGTATGTGGCTGTAACAAATTATTTAACCATTCCCCATGGATGAACACTGTCCCCATTGCTAGTTTTTCCTGTGTGTGAATGGTGCTGTAGTTACTATTCTTGTGCATATCTCCTTGGGCTCACCAGTATTTTTCGTGGAAGATTTAAAACGGGAGAGTCAGGAGCAGACGTGTCTATCAGAAGCCACTCTGGCAGCAGAGCGAAGGGAAAGGGGTTGGGTTGGAACCAGTCAGTAGGTTATTGCAATAGTCCAGGTGAAAGAGAAAATGAATCCAAACTGATGAGGTGGGTTTAGAGAGATGGGACTTGTGAGAGGAGTTGCAGAGTGCTTTAGACTAACTTCAATGTTCAAAAGTTGAAACAAAGATTCTTTCTTTCCACGGATTGAGCCTGTATGTAGATTTGCCGGGGATGAGTAAGACAGTGCCAGTTTATCCGAGTCTCCTGCTCTGCTGGACCCAAGGAAGGAAGGAAGGGGAGAGTCTTCAGTCCGGGGAGGGTTAAAAGTTATGGTTGTCCCTGTCAGTCAGGACTCAGCCGTGCTGAGGTCATGGGTACGTGTGTGCTTGGATGTAGCATGTGTGTGCGCGTACATGTATGTGTGTGTCGTCCCAGTGACCTGGAATCCTGAGGAGGGCCACATGGCTTTCTTTTGTTAGGGAAGGGACAGCACTTCTCCTGGTGGTTTTCAGAAGGTGTCATCTCCCTATGCCCTGAACAGGCCAGAAGACCTCTTTCATGGGGCTTTTTTTTAACTAGGATATCTGTGACTTCATGGGGTATATTTACTGATCACCTTAAATTACTTTGTTGAAATCTCTCCTGATCGTCAGTTCAAATGTGGCCTTTGAGGCCAAATCCAAACTATTGTAATAAAATGAAATTCCATCATCTTTTAAAATAATACTTAGGGCCTTTGAACTTGAACTGATTTAGGGGAGAGTCCGGTAACCAAAGGAAAAAGCCTATTAAAAGGTAAAATCTGCCCTGGCTGGTTTGGCTCAGCGGTTGGAGTGTCGGCCTGCGGACCAGAGAGTCCTGGGTTCGGTTCCCGCTAGGGGCACGTACCAAAAAAAAAAAAAAAAAAGGTAAAGTCTGTCAAGTCTCCCTGATGGAGATTTTCTGGGTGTTCTCTTCCAGCAGAAAGAGGTAAGGTTGAAATGACTCTATGTGGCATAGGAGACTGGGAAAGACAAGTGTGAGTCAGGGGTGACTGAGTTCATGATTCAGGTGGCCAGAGGATAATGTTATTACTGGTCCAAATGACTATATATGGGGCAGCATTGTTTTGGAGGCAAGATAATTCTGTGTTGGAATAGCTTATAATGGCCATAACCCATGTATTAGTCAGTATTTTCCAGAGACACAGAACCGGTAGCATGAGCACTTTCACGCGCACACACGTACACACACACACACACACACACACACACTTTATCATGAGTTGGCTTATGTGGTTAAGGAGACTGAGAAGTCCATGATCTGCCCAGGAAAGCCAGTGTGTGTTTCAGTCTGAGTCTGAAGGCCTGGGAACTGAGGAGTCAGTGGTCTAAGTCTTAGTCCGAGGGCAGGAGGAGACCAGTGTCGCAGCTCAGCAGTCAGGCAGAGAGGCAAAATCTCCCTTTCCCTGTCTTTTTGCCCTGCCCAGGCCCTCAGGGGATTGGATGGTGCCCATCCGCATTGGGGAGGGCCATCTGCCGCACTCAGTCCACTGGTTCAAATGTCAGTCTCATCCAGGAACATCCTCACACACACCGGAAATAATGTTAGCCCAATATCTGGTCACCCCGTGACCTACCAAGTTGATACATAAAATAATCACACCCCATAAGACAGATGTGTCCAATAGGGATTATGGCTCAGGAGATATCTGAGGACTAGAGATACAGGTGGAGAACCCCTGAGAGTGCAAGTGGGAGTTGTAGCTTTGAGAGAGAATGGGACCCCCATGAGGCGGTGTATAACTGAGGCTGCAGGAGAAGAAATCAGTAGCCAGGGAGAAAAACAGAAGACCAGGGAAGAACTGGGTTCTGGAAAACTGAAGAAAACAGAGTTTCAAGGAGGAAAATAGAAATAATTTCACATATTCAGTGAGATAAAGGTTTAATTAGTCTTTGCCCTTGGAGATCAGGAGGTCTTCACTGACCCTTGCAAGGCAGTTTCAAAAGAGGAATGGCCCCTTGTCGATTTTGATTCTTTCCAGTTAGAGTGTCTGCTCTGTAGAGATGTCTGTTGCCTTTGTCAGGGCAAGTTACGCGAGCTGCTCTCACAACCCCAGAAATCTCAGGGGCTGAGGGCAATGACCTCATAGTTTGTTTCTCATTCCACATCCTGAGTGGGTTGGGCAGCCCTTCATGGCAGCAGTCCTTCAAGTAGTGACTTGGGAATCTGAGAGCCTGCATCTTACGATGCTGCCGTCTTAACAGTGAGGTCACTGCCAATGCTGTGGACAGGGAAGACAGAGCACGGACAGGCCTGCAAGGGGGTTATGGCCGGGTCTGGAAGCAGCAGACTTCAATTCCACCCACATCCTGTTGACCAGAACTGTATTATATGATTTCAACCTAACTGCACGGGAAAGGCAAGAATAGGAAATGGGATTGGTGAGCATCTGACCCTTCTCTGTCCCATTCCCAAAGGCATACCTGCAGCCCCCACCTTCTTCTCCAGTTACAGGGTCCATGTCTAAATTTTCAGTGGACCATTTCAGGCTCAGCTTGTTTAAATCAGATCTTCACCACTTCCTTCCTCCATCCTCCATCTAAAGTAGAGATTGATTTCAGTTGCTGGTAACATATTTTTAATTTTCTCCTTTGAGGACAAGTTTTGGAGTAATCAGAGACACAGTCTTATCTTCAAGCCTTTACTGAAGCTGGTCCCCCTTTCAGGAATGCTTGTCCCCGAGAATCTACTTCATGCCTCCATGTCTTTGCTGACACCCACCTTCTTAGTGAGGATTGCTTTGTCCACTGGACTTAATACCGCAGCACCCCCTCCACCCAGAACCCCTGAGCCCCCTCACTCTGCCCTCGTCTTCATATCCTTGACTACCTTTGCACGTACAGTATACTTACTTATTATGTTTATTATTTATCAGGTGTAGCAGGGGTCTTTGTTTTGGTTTTTCTATTAAGTGTCTTGAATGGTGTCTGGCATATAGTAGGCACTCTAAAAATATTTGTTGACTGAATTGAATTTGAATCACGGAGACCAGAAAATATTAGAAGCAGTTTAGAAGGCAGGAGGACAGGAAGGATACGGTGGGTGGTCAATAGACTTGCCTGTGCAGTTGCCTTGGCATCTGTCCCTGACGTGCTCATCGCTTAGTGACTCCGACACTGTTGGGTTAATTTCTGCCTCCAGGGCTCCAGCTCTGCCTGCTCCGCCCATCCTGGACAGGCAGCCAGATGAGTCCTTCGGCAGAGTCACTCTGATCCCATGTGTGTGTGAAGACGTCTCTTGTACGGGGTCTGGTTTGAGAAGGGGAGGGCTGGCGGTATTTGTTCCCGGGGAATAGGTTTGGTGTCCAGCCATACTGCTCGGCTGACTTCTCCGTAGGCCACTTTGGGGCCTGTAATACTTTTGTTTTGTGCCCATAAAAATGTTTTAATTTCTTTTGAAATCAGTAGGAAGAGCTTAGGAAGAGCTTCTTAGGTCAAAGAAAATGTTTTTTTAATATATAATATTTGAACACTCGTCTATAAAGTTGTAAAATATAACAAAACATAGTATGTAGTTAAGACGTAATTGCTGGAGGAGGGGGCAGAAGTGCCCACGGTCTGTGAAAGTCGTAATATGGCCCTGATTATGTCCGGTCAACCCAGAACAGCGTGGACTTAGTCCTAAAATCTTCAAGTTCATGGGGCAAATTTAGTCCCTTTTATGGATGAGGCCACTGGGGCCCTGTAGGCTGTGCTCGACTGGAAGTCACACGACTGATGAGCTGTGCAGATCATATTTCGTTCTTCTGAACCACTGGCTAATGCTTCTTGCCATGTGCCATCCTCCCTGCCCGAGGAACCTTTCGGAGCAGTAACTTAGGTCAGTAGAGTTCCTAAGTATATCTTACTTCTTGTAATTATGCTGCAGATGCTTATTGATGCTCCGTTCTCCTGTCATTTGTAAGGAGGTCTCCTGTGAGTGGCTGTGAAGTGTTCATTTCATTCTTTGATCACGCTGGCTAAAAATCTACTCTGTTACTAATAAGGCAAGTCTTAAAGGGAGTCCGGGGCTATTAGCTGAATATATAAAACTCGTAAAGGGGCTTAGAACTGCTTTACAGACCTTTGTGTTTTAAAATATAAATGTATCTTGAGGCATTTGGTACTAAGTAGGTTCTTGGGTATTGATTCTCTTCCTTTCCTTCCATGAGACATTTTTAGTCCTCTGCCTACATTCTGTTTTCTGCCACTGTTAACCCATTGCCCTGTTGGAGAAGAATCGCACCACTAAGCAACTGAGTCACAGAAAACCACATTCACCTTCATTACTTGCTAGGAACCTTTCCAATTCCCTGTGCTGTTTTGCTTCTCTAGACCTCAGCTCCCTAGCCAGCATTGCAGTTGCATACAATTCATTCAGTACATGTCAATTGATTGTCTTTTATGTGGTGGGCGTTTTTCTAGGGCCCAGGGATACAGGAGCGAACTCACCAGGCAAACCCTGCTCTCAAGGAGCTTGATTTCCTCTGGGAGCAGCACTAGACTCGTTTAGACCCGGTTCCCTCTTTTGAGGTTCTTGATCGCTCTGGATGTGTGTGGGTGTTGTTAACACACCT